AATAATTGATTACTAATTAAGTAATATATATCAGAAAAATGTATTAAACAGTAAATATGTATAAATAACAGTAAATCTATATTAAGCTGTAAACTACTTTAGATATATTAGGAACACATGCAAACTAATTAGTGCTGAAACAACTTCAGACGTGTTCAACAAAGAGTCTCACTACCTCCTGCCTGTCAGGGACCCCATTTTATGATGGCTGGTCTGGAGAACCAAGGTTCCTAGCACCATTCACAATCCTGGTCCAAAGTGAAGTCCCCTGAACAGGGCAAAATTCCTGATATTAATATTATTCTGAATCTAAGATGACATAGAATCCCTACAGTGTGGAAGCAGGCCATTCAGCCCATTGAGTCCATACCGACCCTCCAAAAAGGATCCCACGCAGACTCCATCATGCTGTAGTACTTTCAGTACTTCCACAGACATTTCATTATACAGAAAATCATCTGCAGGTGGCTCCATGTGACAGTCAAGCAGGACAATTCTCACAACAATGCAACATCACGTGGTGGTTCCTCAGTCAAAACAAGGCTCTTGCATTCGACCTGTTTCCCACGTACTTTCCACTTTATTTCAATTGCTCATTGTCATGTCCAATTAACCCTCAATGATCTGGTTTTTAAAAATGATCATTTTCAATCCTGCCACTACAGCCTCCTCAGTTAAAATCTCACATTAGCCTCTTCAATCTCATAGAAAACAATTCCAACCTATCCAATCTTTCCGTATCTCTAAAATTCACCAGTCCTGTCAATATAGAGATGAATCTCTGCTGTGCTTTCTCTAGTGTACTCCCTGTGGTGGAGTGCCCAGAGCTGTGCCCCATCCTCTTGCTGTGATCTAAGGAGTGTTTTTTATGGTTTGACAATGATGGCTGTGTCCACACTCAGAACACGTTAATGTATCAGCAGGTCAGGACCTTTTAAATATCACATCCAGAACATTTCAAACTTCCCTCATCAGAGTGAATACGTCAGTGCTTAATGTGTTGGGAGGACCGAGAACCTCCCTTATCTTTGTTCATGTCTCACAAGATGGGATGACCAGGTAAATCCCATCCGACACATGGAGCAGATAAGTCATCTTTCCCCACTGCGAAGATCCTAACACTGCAGAAGGTGAATCACTTAAGGAGCAAGTGAATGGTCTGTTCCTGGTGGGTGCACACTGCTCACTATATCGTCAAATTTAAAGATATTCTTATATTAAGAGCATTTTAAAGGTCTCTTAACCAAGTGGAACAGCTGGTGGTCAGTATAGTGGGAGGATTGAGTGAATCTCTTTCTATATTGGGAGAAGCCGAATGTCTTGTCCTTAGGCAGGAATGGTTAGCAAGTTTGCAAAATTGCTGGTGTAGTGGACAATGAAGACATTTATCTCAGAGTCCAACAGGATCTTGATCTGATGGGCTGTGGAGTGGCAGATGGACTTTAATTTACATAAATGTGAGGTGCTGCATTTTGGAAAGGCAAATCAGGGCACGACTTACACACTTCGTGGTAGGGTCCTGGCGTGTGTTGCTGAGCAAAGAGATGTTGGGGTGCATTTTCATAGTTTCTTAAAAGTGGAATTATAGGTAGACAGTGTAGTGAAGAAGATGTTTGCCTTTATTGTGCTTGCTTTTATTGGTCAATGCATTGAGTATAGGAGTTGGGATGTCATGTTGTGGTTGTACAGGACATTGGTTAAGCTACTTTTGGAATACTACATTCAATTCTGGTCTCCCTACTATAGGAAAGATGTTGTTAAACTTGAGTGTTCAGAAAAGATTTACAAGGATGTTACCAAGGTTGGAGAATTTGAGCTATAGGGAAAGGCTGAATGGGCTGGGGCTAATTTCCTGGAGCATTGGAGGGAGAAAGATAACCTTATAGAAGTTTATAAAATCATGAGGGGCATGGATAGGGTGAATTCTCAAAATCTTTTTTTCCCCCAGGGTTGGGGAGTCCAAAAATAGAGGGCATATGTTTAAGGTGAGAGAGGAAAGATTTAAAAGGGACCTAAAGGGCAACATTTTCACAAAGAGGCTTGTATGGAATGAGCTGCCAGAGGAAGTGGTGGAGGCTGATACAATTACAATATTTAAAACTCATCTCGATGTGTACATGAATAGGAAGGGTTTAGAGGGATATGGGCCAAATGGGACTAGATTAATTTAGGATACGTGGTCGACATGGAGGAGTTCGATCAAAGAGTCTGTTTCCATGCTGTACAATGCTATGACCCTGTAACTTGCTGGTGCTCAGAGAGATGTACCGACTCATTGAAACCCTCCCTGGAGTAGGAGCAACTGCCTTGTATTTCCTGAGTGTGAAGCAGACGAAGCTCTGCAAGGCAGGGGCTGGATGGGGGTGGGAATGGCACCTACCTGAACCTCTTCCCGCTGTCAGAGCAAGTCGATGGTCTCATCACCATGAACGCGCTGGTGTTGGAGCAGTTCCTCAGACATTTCAATGGTGTCCCCAATGGCAGAGCTATGAAGCGGCATCTCATCAAACATGATCAGGTTGCTGTGTTTGCAGGTTGAATGAAGTGATAAAGCCTCTCACCATTGCAGGCTCACTGCTATGTCAGCATACTTTCCAGCTGGGTCAACAGGAGGAACAGTAAACGGACTCTCACCAGTTTCAAACCAAGATGGTCAATTAAATCCTTTCAGGTATGCAAATGGATTGAGAGAGTAGCAGATTTCGGCATGAGGTTTGGCTCAATAAGTTCTAGCCCAGAATGCTGAAAGGCTTTCTATAATTATATGTTACAGTCTGTATAAATGTAACTCATAAACACAGCTTGTTAGAACAAACCTGGGGGAAGAAAGCTCTGAACTAATCACTGGAACCTTGTTCTCTACAAGCAGAGGAAGAAATCATTTTGTGCATTCAAAATTATGAAAACTCATTAAAGATGACTTGTTGCAGCGAACTGTATTATCTCACAAAATGAGAGCGAGGGAGTGGGATTGAGGTGAGCCACAGTCTGAGTCACAAATTGAAGGACAGGTGAACTGAGAAGAATAAGTTGAAGGGGAGGGGTAAGATTCTGGAGCAAGGAGCAGAGAGAGTGAGGATTGTGTGGGATAGGGATTTGTAGATTCACAGATGAAAGGGAAAAACAATGCTCAATACAACAGATCATTCCAATTTCTATCTTATACTGACAATGGTAGATGCTGCTGCATGGTATTAGAGGGAGATGATGTGAGAGACAGACAGACAGACAGACAATGGCCTAGTGGTACTATCGCTAGACTATTAATCCAGAGACCTGGATAACATTCTGGGCACCTTGGCTCAAATCCCGCCACAGCAAATGGTGGAATTTGAATTCAATAAAAATATCTGGAATTAAGGGTCTAATGATGACCATGACGCCATTGCCAATTGTCAGGAAAAACCCATCTGGGTCCACTAATGCCCTTCAGAGAAGAAAACTGCCATCTTTACCTGGTCTGACCTACATGTGACTCCAAACCCACAACAACGTGGTTGACTCTGAACTGCCCTCTGGGGAATTAGGAATGGACAATAAATGCCTAGCCAGTGACATCCTTGTCCTGTTAAATGTATAAAAGGGGGGAAAAAAAAATTGCCAATGAGAAACTCAAAAATCTTGATCTTGCACAATTACTTAATTTATTCAGGATTGGGTTCTGATTATAGAATCCTTGGTGTGGAGAGAGGCCATTCAGCCCATCAATTATTCAGTGATTCTCAAAAGAGCATCCCACCCAGACAAAGCCTCCACCCTTTTCCCATAACCCTGCATTTACCATGGTTAAAACACCTAGCCTGCACATGTCTGGACACTATGGGTAATTTACCATGGCCAATCCACCTAACCTACACATCTTTGGACTGTGGGAGGAAACTGGAGCACCTGGAGGGAACACACACAGACAAAGGGAAAACGTGCAAACTTCACACAGACGCCAGAGGGTGGAATTGAACACTGGTCCTTGGCACTGTGGGGCAGCAGTGCTAACTGCTGAGCTACTGTGTTGCACATTAAAGAGAAATGTCAGCAGGTTTAGTTTTACATCAGTGTGAATGGTAAACCACAGAATCTTGCATACCCAAGTTGGAATCTCAGGACATGGTCAAACATGACATCAAATGTATGAAAAGTGTGGTTCGGTTTCAGATGGTTCTCTGGGAGAGGAATGGAGTTGGTAGATAGAGAATGAAAACAATGGCTTTGTCCCCACAATATTTAATTAGGGAGAGAGGAAAAAAAAAAGACACAAAATAGGGAAGAGCAGGTGGGTAACAATGCAGAAGCTTTAGAGGAAGTCAAAGTCTGTAGACAGGACAAGATAGACTTGTTGCTTAATCACATTGGATGTCATTTGTGGCTTTGATAACACTGCTTCAGTAATGTGACAGGGCAGAAACCTGATTGGAAGGATTTGCTCTTGGGAAAAAAAGGGCATGGATTCTTTTGGCAGGTAGAGGTTGTAAGGATCGAAGGCTAATATATTGAAGCAGTGATAATGATATCAGATTTGAAGGAGGGCGACATGGTACCAGCAAATCAAGACAATGAATATGGGTAAGGTGGTGAATAGGGTGGAACAAGCAGTGGGTCACATGGACAAAATGAGCCCTGAAAGAGCACGAGAGAAAGTGGAAGGGGAAACTATTCAAAGATGCGGGTTTGGGAGGAAATGTTAGAGGCAGTTTGGTCTGTTGAGCGAAGCACAGAAATATCTGATCATATTGTTTCAAACTTAGTAACAAAGAAGGTCCATGATTTCCTCACTTGTTAGAGGCGAGGACGGAGGAGAAAAAAAAAGGGGGAGGCCCCTTCAAAGAAGTAATTTGTGTAAGATATTAAAATAATTTGACAACATGTTTGTACAAAAGATGATTTATTTGACTTTGATCCAGAATATTAATGCTTTCATTTGTGCTCGAATTTATTAACCTCAGCAGAAACAGAAGCCAAAGATGGGGTTCAGTGTGGATGTGACGACCAAGAAATATCCTTATTTGTGAACTCGTTGGTGACTCAACAAGTGAGATGACCGAGTGAATCCTTTCCCACACTGAGAACAGGTGAATGGCCTCTCCGCGGAGTGAACACGCTGATGTGTTAGCAAGCTGGACGAAAGTGTGAATGTCTTTCCACACTCCAAGCAAGTGAATGGCCTCTCGCCAGTGTGAACACGTTGGTGTATCCGCAGATCAGATGAATTAGTGAAACCCTTTCCACACTCAGGGCAGGGAAATGGTCTTTCCCCATTGTGAAGTCGCCGGTGTCTCAACAGGTGGGAGGATGAAGTGAATCCCTTCCCACACTCGGGGCAGGGGAACGGCCTCTCCCCAGTGTGAATGCGCTGATGCCTCAGCAGGGTGGCTGAATCAGAGAATCCTTTTCCACAATCAGGGCAGGTGAATGGCCGCTCCCCAGTGTGGACTCGCTGGTGTTTCAAAAGGTGGGACGAATCGGTGAATCCCTTTCCACACTCGGAGCAGGTGAACGGCTTCTCTCCAGTGTGAACGCGCTGGTGTCTAAGCAGGGTTGCCGACTGAGTGAATCCCTTCCCGCACTCTGGGCAGGTGAATGGTCGTTCCCCAGTGTGAACTCGCTGGTGGATTATTAGGTCTGATGAATTAGTGAACCCCTTCCCACACTCGGGGCAGGTAAATGGCCTTTCTGTAGCATGACCTCGCTGGTGTATTAGCAGGTGGGACGAGGTAGTGAATCTTTTCCCACAGTTGGAGCAGGTGAATGGCCTCTCCCCCGTGTGAATTCGCTGATGCACAGTGAGTTCAGATGATCGCCTGAACCCAGTCCCACAGTGTGAACACCTGAATGGCCTCTCATCAGAGTGAACAAGTTGATGGGACATCAGTTCCCGGGCACTTTTGTAGCACTTCCCGCAGTTCGGACATTTAAAAGGTCTCTCATTAGTGTGAACGCGCTGGTGGGTCAGCAGATGAGAGGACTGAGTAAATCCCTTTCCACATTTGGAGCAAGTAAATAGTCTCTCTCCAGTGTGACTGCGTCGGTGGGTTTCTAGCTCGGAAGGAGATCGAAATCCCTTCCCACAGTCCTGACATTTCCATGGTTTCTCCATGGTGTTGCTGTGTCATTCCAGGTTGGATGATCAGTTGAAGCCTTGCGCGCACGCGCACACACACACACACACGTGTAGTCTCTCACTGCTGTGAAACATTTGGCATTTTTAACCGGTTAAAACTCTTTCCATAGCCAGTGCTTTTCTGGTCACATTGATGATTAAAACCATTTCCCACAAGTGTATTGGAGATAAATTTATCCTGCCACACTTCAAGGATGTTGAAATTCAGTTCCTGAATTGAGTGACTTAACCATGAGGTTTGGTCTGAATTTTGTATCTTCAAATCCTTCCCTTCTTATACCCTGTAAAGAGTTTACAAAAAAACATCAGTAAGTAGAGGATAGAAAATTAGAACAGATCATTCCTGTTTTGCTGCAACATTTTTCTTCCTCTCGCATTCCTCCAAAACTCTAAAGTTTGTCTCCCATATTCTACATCCTCCGAGAGCAGAAATCCAAACCAATGCCACCACTTCTTTGCTTGACTGCCAGATTTCTTCCTCCCTTTACTCTGGCTGGTTTCTCAAAGTCCTGCAGGCATAAGCTATTGATTTTAAGGAAAGATCACTGCACCCAAAATGTTAACTCTGATTTCTCTCCACAGATGCTGCCGGACCTGCTCAGCTTTTCCAGCAATTTCTGCTTTTGTTTCTGATTTCCAGCATCCGTGGTTCTTTTGGGTTTTTTTACATAGGCATAAGCCATTCAGCCCAACAAATTTGTTCCACTATTCAATCAGGTCGTGGCTGATCAGCTACCTCAATGTTATCCCCAAATTGCTCTACATTATTTGTATCAATCAAGTTTTGTGTTGAACATGCTCATGCTCAGTGATTGATCTTCCACAGCCCTTGGGAATACAGAACTCCAAAGATTCAGTACCCTCTGAAGAAATCCATCATCATCTAGGTCTTAAATGGCCTCCCCTTTTTCAGAGACTGTTTCCCCTGCTTCTAAACAGCAGCCAGCGGCAACATCCTATCTACATCCACCCTGGAAGAATTTAGTAAGATAAAGTGAGAGACGACCTCATTCTTTAAAACTCGAAAACATACAGGCCCAGTTTCTTCAATCTCTCCTCAAAAACAATCAAGCCACCCCAGTTATCTGTTGTAGTCACTCAATGGCAAGTATGTCCTTTCTTAGATATGAACACATTAAATGTAGGTATGGGTTCACCAAGATTCTATGTAATTGTACCAAGACATTCCTGTACTTGCATATCCTCAAAATGAAGGCCAACATGCTTTTGCTTCCCTAGTTGTTTGTTGCAATTATACACTAGCTTTTCGTGACTCAAAAAATGTCACAGAATCAGAAAGAGAGTCACACAGACACAGAGCCTGGAACAGATGCTTTGGTTGAACTAGTCCATGCCAAACAAGTTTCCCAAACTAAACTGGTCCCACTTGCCTGCATTTGGCCTATATCCTTCTAAAGCTTTCTATTCATCAAGTCCCTTTGGAGATCAACACGTCCCACTAATTACCGAATAGTCTGCTTTCTTTTCATGCCAAAGTGGATTAGTTCATACTTATTGATATTATATTCCAGATACCACATTCTTCACCGTTCACTTAGCTCACCCAAGTCTCCTTGAAGCTTCCTTGCATCCTCACAACTTGCATTCCAACCCAATTTGTGTCATCAGCAAACTTGTGAAGTGTAATTAATCACAGAGCTGGCTAAAATGAGTTCCTGAAGAATAGCAAGCAAAGCGGACTCATCTAAGTCACAGCAGTAATACACACAGTGCCAGTGGAATGCAGCCAGCACTGAGTACAGCAAGGACAGGGGGTTTTGGAAGTCTGGCAAGTGTGGGAGTTCAGTGAAGTGGGGAAAGGTTTTCCTTTCTTAACTGTTTTAGAACCTGGCACTTCAGGAGTCAGGAGCCAAAACATGCTCAGTTTAGAAAATCCAGAGTGAAAAACAAGTAACAACATAGGAGTCTGGCAATGTACAAGGGTCATATAGTATAAAAGGACTATGTGAGTAACCTGATTAGGACACACGAGTTAGGGGAAGGTTTATAAATTTAAAAAGTATTAAACTTTAGTGCACATAGCTAAAACAGTTACTTGTTTAATTAAGGACCATATAACATTCAGTAGCAAGTGATATTTGCATCAATAAAATGGTGGTAAAGAACAGTAATTATTTTTACACAATGAATTACATTTAACTATTTAGCACAAAGACAACAGTGAGACAGGAATTGTGTAGCAGCTGCTGCATTTGGGTTTTTCTGGATCCAAAAATTATTCCAGCAAACGTGTTTCAGAGATAGTAGGAACTGCAAATGCTGGAGAATCCGAGATAACAAGGTAGAGCCGGATGAACACAGCGGGCCAAGCAGCATCAGAGGAGCAGGGAGGCTTTTCTGAAGAAGGGTATAGGCCCGAAATGTCAGCCTTTCTGCTCCTCTGATCTACACCTCTACACCTTGTTATCTCCAGCAAACGTGTGTTGGGATTGGTCTCCTTATCTGAGGAAGGACGTTCTTATTGTTGAGGAAGTGCAGTGAATGTTTACCAAATTGATTCTTGGGATGGCAGGACTGATGAATGAGGAATGACTAAGTTGGTTATTATTGTATCTACTGAAGTTTAGAAGAATGGGACTGGGAGAATCCTTAGGACCGAGATAAGGAAAACTTTCTTCACCCAGTGATGAGCCCATAGAATTCACTACCACAAAAAGCAGTTGATGCCAAAACATTGAGATTTCAAGGGGGAGGTAAATACAGCTCTTGTAGCTAGAAGGATCAAAGGATATCGGGAGATGGTGGGATTAGGGTATTGCTCCATGATCAGCCATGATCATGTTGAATGGTGGAGCAGGCTCAAGGATGACCTACTCCTGTGATTCTCTGGAAATGCCTAACAGCAGGAACTTGCAACTTATGAACTGGAAGCTGAGTTGAAGACATTATGATACATTGAGGCAGGGAGAGATACTTGGACACTTGTTGCAGAAGATGCTCACACCCCTTAGGATAGGCCAGTCTGATTCCATTTGTAGTAAGGGACAGGAGGGTCTGACTGCCATTGAGGCAAGTACCAGTCAGAGAATACTGGAGTGCAGGAGCTATGAAACAAGCTATGAAACAACTATGAAACAAGTTCAAGGTACTCATCTGCATTAATGTAATCAAGGTTTGTAAAGAAGAAGAATGGACAGTCCAGGGCACTTTGGTCAGGATACCTTTTGTGAAAGAGAGAGTAATAAGGAATATACTGGCAGTAGGAGATGGTAGTGTGAGGGGGATACACACTGTTCTGTTTAGCAAATAGTATAATTCCAGAAAGTTATGTTGACTCCCCAGTCCCCAGACTTGGGACATCTACTCAGCACCAGACAGGAGGTTGGAGTGATAGGATCCAGCTGTCATGGCCCACGTAAGTACAAAACACACAAGGAGGATTAGGCTTTGTTTAGACATTATGGGGAGCTACGCACCAAATTGAAGAGCAGCACCTGAATCTCTGGATTTTTTCTTCAGCCCTGTGAAAGTTGACAGAGGGCACTTAAGGCTGGTGAAATACATACAGCATGTGGCTAAAAGACTGGTATGGGAGGAGTGGGTTTCAGTTTGTGGGGCAGTGGGGGCACTAGCATCAATCAGTAGTAGGGCTTGTATTGATGGGACAGTCTGCACCTGAACCCTGATGGGTCTAGTATTCCATGGAACCACATAACTAGGGAAGTAGGGTGGCTTTTAAAGAAAATAAGCGGGGTGAGGGATCAAGCTTGGGTAGATGCGGAAATCAAGGGTAGAATCAAGACAGGAGAGCAGAACAGTAATAAGAAAAATGAAGGTCAGAAAATGGCCGGAAGGGACTGGGAGAATAGACATTCGAATATACCTACAGTTAACACTAGATGTTAGAAAGGTAATAAAAAGACAAAGCTAAAGGCTCTGTACCTGAATGTGTGCAGCATTCATAATAAATTAAATAAATTTATAGCATACATTGAAGTAAATAAATTTGGCCTGATAGCCATCGCAGAGACATGGCTGCATGATGACAAGGATTGGGCCCTGAATATTGAAGGACATATACAATCAAGAAGAACAGAATGCTAGTTGAAGGTGGAGGAGGCATTACTTTTACTCAAGGCTGCATTGATGCAATATTTAGAGATGATCTTGGTTCTGGAGATTTGGATGCAGAATTGGTTTTGGAGAGATGAAAAACAGTAGGGGTAAAACGAAAGACTAGGGGATTGGTCTACAGACCCCAAACGGTAATCACAATGTAGGGAGAAGCATACAAGAAGAAATATTGGGTGCTTGTGATGAAATGATGGCAATAATCATAGGTGATTTTAACCTGCAATTAACATGAAAAAAATTCAGTTTGTCAATGGCAGCATCGATGGGAACTCCACAGGCTGCTTTTGAAAGAGTTTCTTTGAGCAATATATTCTGCAACCAGCCAGCAAGGAGGTTGTACTGGACTTGATATTGAGTACAGCATTGATTAATTTGTTCAGAGTAAATGCATCTTAGGTAGCAGTGGCCACAAAATAATTGAATTTTGCATTCAGTTTGAAATGGAGAAGGGCGTGTCTACGATTAATATTTTAACCTTAAATTATTGCTACTTTGTGGAAGAACGCAGAGCTCACTGAAGTGAACTGGAATACTAGGCTATAGGATAGATCAACAGAGACAGCAAAAGAATAGCAAAAGAAATTAAGGGGATGTATCAGAATAAATATAATCCAATTACATGGATTTAATATGGATTAAATATGGATTTACCATCCATATTTAACCAGATAAACAAAGTAAACATCAAACTGAGGAAAAACTGTGCAAAGGCAAGTGCAGGTCAGATGATTGGATAGAATAGGAAGAACAGAGAATGACTAAAGAATTATTCAGGTAAAATAAATTATGAGTATGGTTGGAAGCTAGCTAGAAATGCGGCGACTGTTAGCAAGAGTTTCCATAGTTTTCTAAAAAGGAAAATAGTAAGTATAGTGATAGTTGGCCCTCCGTAGGATGGGAATGGTGAGCAAATGATAGATAATAGGCATGGTGAATGACGTGAACAAATTTTATTTCTGTCTTCACTATGGAGGCTACAAAATAATACAGTAGTATCTC